GGGTAAGAAAAAACTGGATAGTCCAGAAGGTTTGCAATTGTATGCACTCTGTACATCTTAACAAGCTGCCTATATTATATTTGTAAAAAACGCTAAGCTCTTTAGGTAATTAACATCTAACTACATTGAATGGGATATCCATAAAAATTTCACTTTCTATATATCTAAATTTTATCTGTTTTATTAATAAGCGACCTTACTTATACGAGCATGGTCTGCTAACTAATTGGGTCCTAAATTCCAAAATTGGGTATAGAGAAGGCTGGTGGTAAAAGACTAGTGTGGGGTTTGATTTGCTTTGTTAATTTATGTGTATATAGGCCAGTACGTTGATCATACTGTACACACATACTGTATACACTCTCTACATTGACCGGTTTCGGAGCAACTACCGTAATTATGCAATACGTGTTGTTTCTCAGTTAGAAAAATAGGTAAAATGTTTTGCTTTCATACAGTGTAAATTTGCTGAAATAGGATCCTTACTAAGCAAATATTAATAATATGTTTCAATGTAAGTAAAGAGTCCATAACTTTGTACGGTTGGGTTCGTTCCAGGATTCTTTGGTTCTGGGAAAAGGTCACAATTGTCCTCATGATTGTCGCATTAATTAGAATTTATTTTATCATGATCATATCCTTCCTCTAATTTTACAAATGGCAATAACTTGTTTAAACTGAAATTTTATGTTTAAGTGCATGACACGGAGCATTATAGTAAGTTTGTAATTTTGCATCATTAATGTGCTTAGTAATAGTGAGCATATGATTTCAAATACCTGCCGGACATTAAGGAATTGGTTTGTTTTTATTATATGAGGAAGGTAAATTAGAATATTGATCATGTTAGCGGAAAAGAACGTATGATGGGTTCAACCTTTAAATTTAATATTATACGCTTTACTGACACATTAAACACTAGTAGATTAAGGTTACTGCCAACCGACCATTAGTAATAAAATATTCGGTACATCTTACGGAATTGCGTGTTTCAAATCCGAAAATTTCCTTTTAGCAACATAGCTAACAAACCGTCCATTCTTGTTTAGATGGTTATTTCGGTTTCTCCTGCCTATCTTACTTTAACAGTGTTGTTGTACTGGCCATATTTTATTTCTTCTCACTGCACATTCAAATGAAATTGGATCCCCTCGGCAGATATAGCAGCGGTGCTAACTGCTTTCGAGGTCTTGGTCGAAGGCATCCGACATACAGTTCCGTTTCGTATAAACTACTTGTAGTAGCTTCAGGCAACTGTATACCCGGCATTTATGTTACTTTGAATTCACAATCTGTTAAACGCGCGTATCCTCGGAGATCCTCTATCGGAAACACATGGCAACGTCACATAAACCATCAAAAAGCAAACCATGTTTGCAAATTTAGATGAAAGGATAATGAAGGCGTTTTTGGAATAGTTTATAAAATCCACATAACATAAATTAGGACGTAATGCAAGTAGCACGCAGAAGACAATAAGCAAACTTTCGGTTTTTAAATAATCCCATTTTAACTGCTCTCTATCAAACTTTCTTTAAGTCCAATCGGGTAAGTAATAGATACCCAAGGAGTCATTTAGTCTTATTTACTAATTTTGAAAATATGTGGTTTCCTAGCAGATACAGCCTTGGTATAAATGATAGGGTCTACAAATACGATAGCTCAAATTTAGCTTTTCGATAAGCAATAAATTTGATAAATTATCTATAAATAACATCTCTCGTAACCTTAGTTCTGCCGAGTTTTTCATAGGACGTATGTTCATTGCTGCTTTATATTCTAACAGCCATGATTTCCGGACCTATATCAGTTGACTTCTGCAATCAGGTGAGCGTAACAGTGATAATTTAGAAGCAGTCACAGAATTCTTGCTTTTGTTTGCGACACTTCAGTTTGCTTTTTATAGGCAAAACAATTTATATGACTAGTAGGTACACGATAATATCATTAAGCAACTTGTCTCAGACATTGAAGTATATATATATATAGATATAAATAGTAGTAGAAGCAATGACTTAATTAAAGATATACTTGCAATCACTGCGTCCACAAGACTGAGGCTCCCTTCACATTTTTCTGTTCTTTTCAGGCACAGTTATGGATGGCTGAGGGATTTGATATCATGTATAGTTCATGTCGGCTGCAAAGCACAGGCCGCTTTGATATCAATGGAATGAAGACTGCACTATATCAGTTGAAGCTAAAAAAAATCTTATATACGATGGATGCAAATTCCTATATAACTCAAGTTACCAAAATGATAGACGCATTTAACAGGCCCTTCCCAAATTGTCCATTCAACGGATTTATCTTTCTGAGCTGATGTAAGTTAACTGGACTTTTATAACCTAATCACACTGTATTTCAGACATCTCTTGACACATCTGTCATAGCTTACGTAGGCTTGATATATCATTGAATGACGCAAACGAAACCTATAGATCATCAGCAAATTACAAGCTGGCCAACAGAATGGCTTGTGAAAGCGCTTGGTTGTCACTCCTCCCAAAGTTGACAACCCCAGAACGGTTTCGTTATTTCTCAGACTACTTAGACAGCGGTAGTCTGAGCTGGGAGTGAAATTATTGCCTAAAGTTTAACGATTGATGCTTATATCACCAGACCAATAGGATCATAGATAAACGCTTGATAAAAGTTAGCATTTTAAAGTTGTTCTTGAAGTACTCATCGTGTGGATGGGTTGCGCACATAATCTCTATGCGACATCGGTTCACTTTGAATCAAACGTCAGCCATTCTAGTCACGATTGTGTCCGAAGCCATTTAGTAACATTTTATATCGGTTTGGGCAAGTGTCGATAAACGTTCAGTTAAGGAAAATGTGTTTAACAGGTCAACTATCTGCAACATAAACACGTGTAGTACATTGAAATCACTTTTTAAAACACCCTAATAATAGTGACGATACAAGAAGGTTAGAATTACACCTGTAGTAATATACCCAGGGGATGGTTTGTTATTTAATTAAAACCCTGTAACATGGAATGTGGTCGTCTTATGACTTCATTCTTTAAAACCAGGACGGAATTTTCTATTGAAAAACAAGGCTTACATTGTTTGTGATAATAAGCAATATATTATTATTTAATGTCACCGGTCATCATCATTATCATCATTATACATGTCAGCTAGAGATGGTAAAACACCTCCGCTATTGTACCGCAATACATAAAGGAAATACATACATACATACAATACATAAAGGAAAAATAAATACGACAGTTGAATGCCAGCTGAACTACCAGCAACGGATAGGCATCGTTCCGGTAAGCTACCAGCCGGCTACTAGGCAAAAAGAAAAATTATTATGTTTTACGCTATGAGATAAGATCGTAGATGGAGGGGGAGGCTAAAGGGATGTGGAGGGACAAAGAAACTCACAGCAGGAACGCCACTGAGGTCGGCTCCTTGTCATATCAGCAAGTGTATCCAGACAAACGTGTTCACCATCTTTTGGACCCCAACCATGGAGCCGTGAAGCTCCAACTGAGGCCAGCTCCGAAGTGAGGGCCTTCATTCCTCTGGACCAAGTCATCGCTTGGCCACCTCTCCTCTTCTTCCACCCACATCCCCGGTGAGCAAACAACGCACGTCGAGGGAGTCGGTGGGCTGGCATGCGCAACACGTGGCCCAGCCATCGGAGCCTGGTGAGTGAAATGACGGTGCTGAGCGGTTCATTCCCTTTTCCTAGGCCGTAAACAAGGCGTCGAACACGCTCGTTACTCACGCGGTGTTCCCACCAGATGTGAGCCAAACTGCGAAGGCACCGATGGTCGAAGGTAAGTAGCCTCTTCATGTCCGCCCATCTTAGGGGCCAGGTTTCGCAACCGTACAGTAAGGTCGAACGTACCGCTGCACTGTACACTCTACCCTTCAGGGCGAGAGTAATGTCGCGCCGTCGCCATAGGTGGCGAAGGTTAGCAAAAGCACTTCGAGCTTTCGCTATGCGGTTCGTGATCTCGTCTTCGATCCCAAGGGCGCTGATACAACTTCCCAGGTAATTGAATTTCTGAACGACTTCTAGCTGATCCCCACCAATGGTCAGCACAGGGGGCGAACCCTGCCAATCCTGGAGGAACGCTTTGCACTTCGGTGGTGCAAAGCAAAGCCCGAAGCGACTGACAGCCAGTGCTAATCTGTCCAGCGCGGCTTGACACGTCTGGGAGCTGTCACAGATGAGGGCAATGTCGTCTGCATACTCTAAGTCAAGGAGTCGTTCTCCTGGGAGTAGCTCCACACCTTCCAAGTCATGTCCTGTAAATGCAATCCCCATGACTTCGTCAATAGCGAAGTTGAATAGGAGAGGTGACAGCGGGCATCCTTGTCTCACACCGCTGGAGATATTGAAGGGTGGCGACAGCCTGCTGTAAGCCCTTACTCTGCCCGTGCTACGCGCATATAATGCTTGGATAATATTTACATATTTCTCGAGCACACCTTTCCTGAGTAGACAATTCCAAAGGGCACATCGATCAACCGAATCGAAGGCACCTTTGATGTCGAGGAACACGACTACGGTGGGCCGCCAATATGTGTGACGGTGCTCCAACAACTGACGCAAGGTGAAGATGTGGTCGATGCAGCCACGACCCCGACGAAACCCGGCTTGCTCCTCACGAATCTGGCTTTCACGAGCGCCAGTCAGTCTGTGGAGAATTATGGACGCGAGTAATTTGGAGGCGATGGAGATCAGACTGATTCCTCTATGGTTGCCGCATTCCGAGCGCGAGCCGCCTTTGAAGATGGGAACAATAACGGAGCGGCTCCAGTCGGTTGGGACAGTTTCCTGCTCCCACAGTTTCACTAGTAATTCATGCAAAGCATCAACAAGAGCAGAGCCTCCAAATTTGAAGAGGGCTGGAGGAAGATCATCTGGTCCCGCGGCTTTGTTCAACTTCAACAGTCCGATCTCACGTTCGACTTCTGAGCGAGAGGGTGGATCCAAAGGGACAGCCCACGGAGCGGGGCGATCAGTGACCGGCGAATCGAACAATTCTTGCCGATTAAATTGCTTTTCAAAATGCTCAGCCCAACGCTCCAGACGTTTTGACAAATTGTGGATAGGCTGTCCACTCTCGTCACGTATAGTTTCACTAACACCAGGTCTCCTGCTGCCCGTTTCCCGTATCAGACGGAATAACTTACGATGGTTGCCAAGGGCAGCGGCCACTTCCATCTCTGACGCACGATGAGACCACCAAGATTCGCGGTCTCTCTTCAGGCTAGCACGGAGTTTTGCCCGGAGCTCTTTGCGAGTTTCATTGTGCTCGCTTCCAGCCGGGATTTGCCGGCGAGCATCTATAAGTTCCAGAGACTGCGAAGAGACCCAATGTCCATGTTGTCTATTAGACATACCACATGAGGATTTGCCTGCTGCTAGTAAGGTCTGGCGAACATGTGACCAGTGACCATCAATTGTCTCCTGTGAGCGCTTGCTCAACTCGCATGTTAGCGTACTTCGATACGCATTCAGAACAGCTGGTTTTGTCAGTTGGTTGGTGTCAATACGCTCACAGCGTCGTCGTGGGCGTCCGCCAAAACGCATCCGCATGTCAGCACATACAAGTGCATGATCGGTGTCCACACATGTGCTCCAAATCGAGCGACAAATCTGGATGCAGCCTCTCCAGCGGTAACTTATCGCAATGTGATCGATCTGCGTGCAAGGCTGCTTCGAGGTTGGTGGGCGCCAAGTCACCCTTCGGCGGGTGCTGTGTCGGAAATTAGTGCTCGCAAGAAATAAGCGAGCATCTTCACACAAATGAAGTAACCGCTCACCGTTATCATTACGGGAGCCTACACCGTGTTGACCGCCGAGATGCAGTTCATCAGTGGACAACTTTCCAACTTGTGCGTTCATATCCCCCGCCAGCACAACAGTGTCCGTGCTTCTTCTGTGGCGAAGGAGCTGGGTCAGTTGGCGGTAGAAGTTGTTCTTTACCGAATCATCGCTACAGTTTGTGGGCGCATAGGCAGCGATGATGAATAGACACCTGTTGGTCCCACGTGACTTCGAAGCTTTGAACGAGCCAGCCAATCGGACCGCACACATCCGGCTACTGATTGGAATCCAATCAACCAGAGCAGCTTCAGCCCGGGGACTCAGGGCAATACCAACACCGGCTTGGCCGGTGCTCGAAGCTGCATCGTCACCGGATAGGCGCAAGGAGAAAATACTGCTTGCGTCCCCTGAAGGGGATCGCAGAGTGAGCACAGTGCTCGAGTCTTGCAGGCGAGTCTCTGATAAGCAGCAGATATCGATCGAGAGGGTCTCCAATGTTCGGGCAAGTGCTGCCTGTTGACCGATTTGTAGCAGTGTGCGTACATTGAGGCATGCCAATCTGAAGGAGGATCGATGGCTCCAAATGGAAGCCGATGAACTGGATTGGACCGCTTGGTTGGACATGGGCTTGTCGACAGGAGAGGAGTGACGCTCCGCGTTCACGTGTGAGGTGAAATTAGAAGGTAAATGCCTAGCAAAGCATGTTGGGGGAGGGCCAAGAATCGGGGGGTTGAAAACTGGGGGGATATAAGTGAAGTTGGAATGGGACGGTAAGAGTGAAAAAGCGTAAGAGGGGGAATAAGAAGACGGGAAGGCTTGAGCAGTAGCATCCAAACCCCTATCCACCCTGCTCGATGCAGCAGATACGGCACCGTTTATTATCCTCTGCAGTGGCCAGAGCATCAAGCAATTGTTTGATGGAAAATTCATAGTATTGCGTGGGCAGGATACTGTCAGGTTGCCCAGGCCTAGACAGGAGAACGATTAGGGTTCTCAACCAAAGCCTTTGGTTCAAAAACCTGACCGCAAGGCAGCGGGTTTGGCGTTGGGCTACAAGGAGTCCATTTTAAGGAATAAGGAGCCACCCTCATTCCAACCCCCAACCTGGAGGACCAGGAGGCTGAGTTTGTCTGGCCTCTAACCATTGACCAATCTGGTATGAGTGACTCTGAAGGTGCAAAAGCACCACCCAGCGTAGCTCAATGGATCGCTGAGGCACACAAACCATCGCACCACGGTAAGGTCCAGCCTCATTGCGATGG